CAATAACCTTGATGGCAGTCGCACAGGTCAGGCAGAGGAAGGAAAAGGAAAAACATCGCAGCTGTAAACAATCAGAGGAAACTGACAAACTGGGAACAAACGGACTTTTCCATACCTGAGTTATCCTGCATGATGGTGTAAATGAGCTTACACACTCGCAGCAGCAGTGACACCTTCTTCTCGGGGGAATACATCTTCCTCATGTTCAGGAACTTCTGCCGGATTTTCTCAATAGCCACGGCGTCAGGGGGCACGGCACCGTCCACCCCGAGCTCCTGGGGCTTTTTGGTCTTAGCCAGCGCCAAGTTCTCCCTCAGCTGCTGCAAAGCTCCGCTGCTCACCTGCAGCGAACAGAGACAACGCATCACTGATATCAGGGCTTCGTCTTTAGCATCGCTTATCTCCTCATTTATGAAGACGCTTTTCTAAGATCTTCACCTGGAAGTCGTGCAAAGCCGTCTCGATGACGCTGTTCAGAGGTTTTAAGACGCATTTGTGCATGGCCTTCTCCAGCACCTGGTCTGTGGACGAGGACACACCCACACACAGACAACCGGTTAAGCACCAAACGTAATGTAATGATCATTTCTTTGAGTAATCAAATAATAAAGTGTGTCACTGCGTGTTGTGCAATGACGAGTTAAATAAAACTGAAACTGTACATTTGCTGTAACTCTTATGTACACAGTTCCTGGGAACGAATGAGGAGATTTACTGGTTAACCCGAAACCATCGTCACATGCTAATGGCAGTCAGCACGCTGAGGTCATGTTCATCAACCCTGAAACTTGCAGACTTTTCTCACGTTTAACGCTGTACAGTCCTGGACTCCGTCCTCACATGTGGCTTAAAGTCAGGCTAAGATGAAGTTATCAGGCTTAAATTATCCACCCTAATATCAGAGTGCGTCATCTTTAAAGACTTAATGCTTTTAATCTGAAGCATCAGTAATTAAACCCAGATGACATCAAATCAAATCAAAATGTATTTATATGCACGTATTAAAACAACAGTGTTGACCATAGTGCTTCACAGTCAGTAAAAGCATGAGACAGTTAAAACAAACAATAAAAGAGGACAACAAACAATAGGTAACAACACAACAAGCTAGACCAGCCAACTAGACAGAATCAAAAGTAAAAAAATAAGTTTTAAGACGTGATTTAAAAGACTCGGCAGTACGAATATGAACAGGGAGGTTATTCCAGAGTCTGGGTGCCACGGATGCAAAGGCCCGGTCACCTCTCGACTTCATTCGAGTCCTAGGTTGTGCTAGGAGCCTGTGATTGGACGATCTAAGTGCTCTGTTGGGATTGTATGAGTGGAGTAGTTCAGAAAGATAGCTGGGCACTAAATTATTCAGAATATTAAAAGTGAACAAAAGAATTTTAAAATCGATGCGATATTTAACAGGAAGCCAATGTAGTTTGGCTAAAATTGGAGTTATGCGTTCACCTGTTAAAAGACGCGCAGCTGCATTTTGAATTAACTGAAGCCGGCAAAGAGAGGAGTGTTGGAGGCCCGAGTAGAGGGAGTTATAGTCGTCCAGTCTGGATGTAATAAATGCGTGGACAAGCTTTTCAAGGTCCTTTAAAGGAGGGAACGGCTTTGCTTTGGAAATCTGACGCAACTGGTAAAAGCTGTTTTTTTTACCACAGTGGAGACCTGTTTCTCAAGCTTAAAAGAGCCATCCAGGAACACTCCGAGGTTTCTTACAGTGGGCGAGAGATGGCTAGCGAGAGGGCATCAGCTAACTGGTCTAGCAAAAACTATGATTTCAGTCTTATTCTCGTTCAATGTAAGAAAATTATGTGATAACCAAATTTTAACTTCATGCAAACAGTTGAACAGAGGTGGACATGTGAGAGATCACTGACAATAAGCTCAAAATGAGCATCAGTCGGCAAACCGACTTTTTGTTTTCTTTATTTGCCAAAATTGATCATACCTGAATATATTTCTCTCTTTTTATTTTTCTTTTTATTATTTCTTTTTTAATGTATTTTATGGAAATATGGCAATTTGACCCAGTGCACTATAAATGCATTTCAAGAAATCACATGGAAAATAAAATATCTGCATTTTTAAAATCATTTCTACTACATGTTATTTGCACGTCAAAACGGAGACCATACCAAGAAATTGACCTCAGTCAGCTTCAACACTTCAGATGTTTCTATTCTTCAGTCGTTTGCTTTATTAGAAAATAACAACAACACCCTCCTACTTCACCAAAAGTTGATTCTGTTCATCTGGACGCAGCGTTTCGTCACTCATCCAACTGACTTCTTCAGTCTCAGCTGACTGCAGGTTTCCCCAGTCTTATAAACAGCACATACTCCTAGCTGCATCTCTGTGGGGCTCACATAACCACTTTATGGTTAGGAGACGCTTTTGAATTCCAGTCTGTTTGCTCCCATCAGCAAAACAAATCGAAATCAGAGACCAAGTAGACTGACCTCCCCCCACTTCATGCATGTCTTTGGGACTGTGAGAGGAGAAGCCACGGAGACACGGGGGAAACACAGGGTTTGCTTAGCCACAGTGCAAACCACCGCGCCATCATGCTGCCAGAAGGACGTTTAAGACAAAATGAACAGGAAGTAATTTGAGTATAAGGATGCACAATGTCTAACAGCAGAGAAGGCCCTCGGGCACATGATGCCCTTTACCATCCATCCTGTGATGAAATCATTTACGAGGACGTCAAGCTATCGCCGACATGTCTCCCTAATGTCAAGGCTCCTCTCACAAAGTTGCCTCCTAAACGGCAGCAGGAGAACAAATCAGATTTAAGCGTGATTATCTCCACTAATCACAGCAGCGTGATTCACTTTGATTAGTGGACATAACAATAATCTCTTTATTTGCTACAGCATAGTGTTTTTTGGCTCTTTTTTATGTGTAACAGATTATATGAACATGTGGGCTAATGGGAAACATTTGCTATCCATCCATTCGCTTCCACTTCTCCTTTTCAGGGTTGCGGGGGGCGCTGGAGCTGTCATAGGGCGAGAGGCGGGGTACACCCTGGACAGGTCGCCAGTCTGTCGCAGGGCCAACACACAGGGACAGACAACCATTCGTTCTCACATTCATACCTAGTGGCAATTTGGATTATCCGATTAACCTATCCCCACAAGCTGCATGTCTTTGGACGGTGGGAGGAAGCCGGAGTACCCGGAGGGAACCCACGCAAACACGGGGAGAACATGCAAACTCCACACAGAGAGACCCCGGCCTGATGGTGGGATTGAACTCAGGACCTTCTTGCTGTGCGGCAACAGTGCTAACCACCGTGCTGCCACTTTCAGATCATCAAACAAATTTAAATATTAGACAAAGATAACACAGGTAAAAACAAAATGCATATTCTAAATGATTGTATTTATTGAGTGAGAAAAAATCTAAACCTATATGGCTATGTGCAAAATATAGATTTTTGCCAGAAAACATCTATTTTTTGGTCCCCAAGACTTTCGGGAAAATACTCTGTGGACTGGAGAGGCAAAAGTTGACTTTTTGGAAGCTGTGTGTCCCATTATATCTGGCATAAAACTAACACAGCAACCCTCTGATATGGCTGAATTACAATACTGCAAAGATGAGTGGGCCAAAATTCTTCCACAGAGCTGTAAAGGACTCAATGTCAAACATTCAAAACTAGGAAATCAGGAAGAGGGCAAACCCTTTTCCACAACACTGTATATGTGTGCTGAGATAATGTGTTTGTGAGAGCTGAATGAACTGTTGGTATTCTGTGCTTGTGCTCTTATACACTTATACACATTTGCTATCTTAACACTAAAAAGCAGAAAAAGGTAAATAATTGGACGAAGGATCAACGCATGCCTTTCGAAGCTGAAGCCACAAAATGAGTAAATAAACTCAACTTTAGAGTTTGACATTCAAACACTGGTCGTGTCAGATAGATTACACGTTTATGGCTCTGATAAGGTTAAAGAGTGACTGACCTCGAGTGTGAGCTTTAAGCATCCCGGTCATATACCAACCTGGAAGCAGATTCTACGTGAGTGTAAATACAACGGCTCCGTCTGTACCTCTGACCCACGTACCCGGGCTTCAAACCATTTCCTCAACTATGCCCAGCACGCTGCATTTCACACAATCGCGTGTTATTGTTCACTGACGGCGAGTATTCATGCAGCACAGACAACCCCAGCCTCCGGGCGCTGTTTATGCCAGACTTATGCAATGATTTACGCAGAACAGTACAGTGCATGCACGCACAGGAATCCTGTTCTTATGAAGAATTGGTTTTGTTTTCATTGTGAGCCACATTAGTACAGGATGCCTGTACGAGAGCCAAGTGCCGTGGCTCACCTGAGACGAGGGCGAGTCCTTTATTGCAAAATGCTTACAGATATAAATCTAGAGCCATAAAAAGGAAGCCTTGGACGACTCTGTTAGATCCTCACGTGCACACAAGGATGTGATCAAAGCCTCCTCAGGATCGACCGTTACATTTTCTGACTTTCTGACTGTTGTTAGGTTTTATCTCAAAATCAATTAAATGGAGAGGCAAACACGTACTCCTACATCTGAAGGAACGCCGGTAGCGCGTAATAAATATCTCATTTATTGATTTAAACCCCGCCTTTCTGCGTCATCCACATTCTCTGTTTACTTATGAATTGGGGTGTGTGCTGCCAGTCAAAAGCCTCCCTATAAGCTAACAATTCTGCTTCTCCCACTCACAATACTTCAAGTGTTGCACTTTAAATAATCTAATAATAATAATAATAATAATAATCTAAAATCACTCCAAATTTTGCACTTCAAGCTTTCCTTTTCATTATAAACACAAAAGAGTGAACATTTTGTTCTGCTGCAACATAACCGCACTCCCCAGTATTTCTGTAAACATGTCCGAGAGGCTCGAAGGGTCACCTTAGCTCCACTTCTCCTTTTCCACAGTTATGTGTGAGCGTAACATGACATCAGGCGGACTGTCGGCTCTCAGCTCGGACTTTTTATTCTGACAGCTGACAAACGAGGGCCTGATCTGAGCCACTTTATGCTCATTTATGTTTCAGTTCTGGTGCTCACAAATGTTCCAGCAGGCTGGATGTGGCTCAGACGTCCTGAGCTGCGTTACAGCAAGTATTATGGGTGTTAGACTTGGCCAAAACTCACAACCAGAGATGGGCAGTAACGCGT